CTCTTTGTGACGGTGTGTGACGCTTTGTGACGGTCTGTGACGGTGTGTGACGCTTTGTGACGGTGTGTGACGCTTTGTGACGGTGTGTGACGCTTTGTGACGGTGTGTGACTCTTTGTGACGGTGTGTGACGCTTTGTGACGGTGTGTGACGCTTTGTGACGGTGTGTGACGCTTTGTGACGGTGTGTGACGCTTTGTGACGGTGTGTGACGGTGTGTGACGCTCTGTGACGTGCTGTGACGTGCTGTGACGTGCTGTGACGTGCCGTGATATGATATCATTATTGTGAAATCCTGCCTGTGGCATGCCATACACTGTGACGTTACGTAACGCGTCACAATTTTTGTGTGCTCGGGAGCAAAAGATATATCGTGCATGGTATAATTTTCCCAGAAAAAATGGCGATTTAGGGTGGTCGTGTTAAAACGGCATTTTCTCAAAGTTAAAAAAGCATTTGACCTAAAAAAATATATGGTGCATTTTCCGATATAATAAGGTATATCTGGGCAAAATTTGAGCAAAATCGATTTTTCAGTCGTGGCCGCTTTATGTTTGATTTTTGTGGACATCCTCTCTTAAAGCACTTGTAGTCGTGTTTTATCACATATAAAACACTCCGCTACGCGTCGTGTTTTATATGTGATAAAACACTCCAACGCGTGCTTTAAATAGTACATAGAAATTTCTTTAATTTTTAAAGCGACCACTATATTTGCTTTGTCACTATTTGTCATCGGTCAATGAATTCTTTACTCTTTAGCTCGCTAATTTGACTATTCAGCATGGTTCATACCTGGAGCAATTATTTACTGCAAAGCCTCCGCCTTGCATAACTACATGTATTTTAATATTGATTACAGTGTTTCCACTTACAAGGATTTTCCTTGCAGCAAGGAAATATTGGTCCTTGCAAGGAATTTACAAGGAAATAAAATTTACAAGGAAATGGCAAGGGAAAATACACAAATTAAAGGAAATTGCAAGGATTTCTGTAACTTATACGAATTACAAGTCTTAAACCAGTAAAAAGAGGTACAGAAGAATCTGAAAATGCCAATGATTTCCAGCGCTCTAGGGACTATAAATTTCAAAATTTGCCGTTCAGCGCTTTCTGCCATACAACCCCTCCACCATTATCAAGCACCTTACGCCACGCCCTTGGATGAGCATAGACATATATGTGGAACAGAAACTTTCATGGAGGGAACTCTTGAAAGCCTGCTCAAATTTTCAGGCAATGTAATGACGCTCGATTTCTCGTAGGGACTATGATACATTTGCCTCAAATTTGCCTGAATCCACCGTTTGGGTGGCAAGGAAATTTTGTGGGGAAAAAAGGAATTTTGGAGATTGTAAAAGGATTTTTGAACAAGCGGTTGTGGAAACACTGAATGATTATTACATTCGTAATACCCTGTTGTAATTACCTTGTTGTTATATATTTTTGCGTTGGAATTTCCGTAAAATATATCGCGGGTAAGGCATCAGCACTAGCTCTGTGCATTTCTTATATTATTATGTTGCATTCATGCTGTTTTTATCCAGAAATCAACACCACCGTAATGGTATTTTACGACGGGGAGAAAAAACCCAGCACAATTCTCTATGACCTTGCATATACTAACTAAAATGAAATTACAATGCATTTTCGGCAAGCTGCTGAAACTCCAGCTGGAATTTACCGTGTACTAAGTCTATGAATTGTGTCTCCGAAATAACGAATTATGTTAGGGCAATGAAACAGTCCGCATTTTATCCTTTTTGTCCGCATCCGAATTTTATCCTTTTCGTCCGTCCGTCCGTCCGTCCGCACGTCCGTCCGCGTGTCCGTCCGCATGTCCGTCCGCGTGCCCGTCCGCATGTCCGTCCGCGTGTCCGTCCGCGTGTCCGTCCGCGTGTCCGTCCACATGTCCGTCTGCGTGTCCGTCCGCATGTCCGTCCGCGTGTCCGTCCGCGTGTCCGTCCACATGTCTGTCCGCGTGTCCGTCCGCGTGTCCGTCCGCATGTCCATCCGCGTGTCCGTCCGCATGTCCGTCCGTCCGTTCACCTTCGCGTTTTATCCCAACCCCTTTTAATTTTAGTGTTAGAGCAAAGGTAATTAGATATCATCAGTTAAAATTATACTTATACATTTTGGTTTGACACATTAGAGTTAATTAATTAAATAAAATTGTTACAACCATTTTCAAATACTAATAAAAGAATCCCCACCCTCCCTCCTCATTACATTGTCATTTTGCTTTCTAATATAAATGTTTTTGTCTAGAGATTAATACAAGAATGATGAATGCATGTACTGATGTACTGGATATTGGCTGGATAATTTTGTCAGAACAACCCACTTGCAAGACAACCTTACCTAAATTCATTAGTATGGAAAATAACTTAACAGGGGTGTCTGTAAAAGCCGGAACCCCACCCGGAACACCCGGAACCCCTCCAGGAACCCCCGGAACCCCACCCGGAACACGCTGGAATACGAGCTATGAAGCAACGCGCGTGTTTCTCTATAAATTCACGTGTTTCGCATTAAATTCGGGGTGATGGATGGTTGCGATCTTTACTTTTTACTTGTATTGTTGTTTTTCTAAATAATTTTGCTCATGGGCAAGGATAAATATATTATGTCGGGCGGTACATAATATCAAATGCATGAGTTTTGCTTGTTTGTAAACGTGCAAACGAAGTTTCGCTCGAGGCTTTTGCCGCATGTACTACAGGGTGTATAAAAAAAAATTGAACAGATTTAAAATTGCTCTCAATTTCGCAAAACAGCTATTTGTATCCGGTTTTATATATATATATATAGCCTCTTTGGGTACTTATAATGTAGAATAATGAGAAAAATTTCTCGAACTCAGATTTTGTGAACCAGGGGGGTGTGCCTTTTCCAACAAACTAAAAATGGCTCGCGCACAAAATTTAAAAGATGCAATCATATTTTGAGTTAACAGATGGAAAATTTGTCGGGATTTTAATTACTGTCCAAAATTTCAGACAATTTGGTTTAGTTTAAGCTGCTTAACTATTCACGCAAAGTTACAATTTTCCCGAAAAATCAGCTATTTGCATGCTTAATTAATGCATTTGCCTAATTTGCATATGTCAGCAATATGCAAATTAGGTAAAGGCATTAATTAAGCATGCGAAAGGCTGACTTTTTAGAACAAAATGAATAGTTAAAGGGCTTAAACTAAACCAAATTGTCTGAAATTTTGTACAGTAATTAAAAACCCGACAAATTTTCAATCTATTAACTCAAAATATGATTACAGCTTTTGAATTTTGTGCGCGAGCCATTTTTAATTTGTTGGAAAAGACACACCCCCCTGGTTCACAAAATTTGGGTTCGAGAAATTTTTTTCATTATTTACATTATAAGTACCCAAAGAAGCTACATATATAAAAAACCAGATACAAATAGGTGTTTTGCGAAATTGAGAGCAATTTCAAATCTGTTCAGTTTTTTTTGATACACCCTGTATATTTTTCGTTTTCAATATTCTGCCATACTGTGCACCTGTGACTCTATTCTAAATTTAGTTGAACAATAACCAATATTTAACCTTGCTATCTTTTTTATTATTTGAATAATATGTTTGCATATGGTTATTTGACTTGCAATTGTATGAAACGGCGCCATGTAAGAATTTAGAGGAATTATAAAGTTCATCCGTATTTATTATATACAATACGAATTCTCGTGGATTTGGGAAATTTTTCATGGATTTCTTTACTAGACTTACTCGCTTTTTGGAACTTTGAAAGACGTTTTAGTAATTTAGAGGCTGTTTTGTATATGACAATGACTGCATGCAGCCTACAGTAAAAGTGCACGCGCGAGATCTCAGAATAACAGTATTATTAAGTAGCTAATAAATTATATGTATTGCTAGAAATTCCCAAAACATTCATTTGTCATTGAAAACGTTGACAACCAAATCAACAAGCTGGTGTTGTATATATAAAGCACTAGCCACTAGGCAAAACGTTCATGTTATAACTTCAACAGTAACACAGTCCTTAATATAATATATTAAATACAATATTTATTTATTGCCATTGATCGAAGGAACATGGACGTTTTCGGCTCGTGCTCTATATTTATATGACATCATCCTGCTTGTTGGTTGTTAACGTTTTCAATGACAAATGAATGTTTTGGGAATTTCTAGCAATACATATAATACATTAGCTACTTTATTTAAACATATTTCTGATGAGAATGAGTTTGCCCCAAGAGCGTACACACCCATCAAGGGGGCTTACTTAATAATACTGTTATTCTGAGATCTCGGGCGTGCACTTTTAAGCCCCGTTTACACTACACTCATTTTTGGCACGGCACTCTTAAATAATGGCACGTGGACCATTTTCTTGAAAAATCAGCATCGTTTACACTACAAATTTTGGCGGGCCATCAAGATGCACTAGCACCCCTACTGTTGAATACGGCCCGCTTAAATACTGCGCCCTTAAATCAAACTTTTAAAAAATGGAGGATGTAAAAACAGCAAACTCGGCACTTGTTTGGTATTTTTATGTGACAAAACGGAGACGTTTACACTTGGCAAAATTTAAAGATAACCGCGTGTACGTAGAATAGCGCTTCACAACATAAAAACATTAAAAAGAAAAGGTAAAAAAGAATGCACTGCAACTGTACTAGCTTTTTTTCATCGCCAAAGAACTAGAATACTGTGGATGCACCCACGAACACAGATCTGGTTTGAGATGGTGGACGACACCTACAACGACGAGCTATGGTATATGCTAACTTCAGAGTTACGAAAGAAACGTTTACATTTATTCTCAGAAAGGTTGAGCCTGAAATAGCTCATGAAAATACACATCTTCGAGAAGCAGTTTCAGCGAAGCGACGGCTGGCAGTTACATTATATTATCTAGCGTCCACGGCTGAATACCGCACAATTAGCAACTTATTCAGAGTTTCACGGTCGTTTGTGTGCCGGTGCATTCAAGAAGTATGTCATGCAATAGCAAAGCAGTTTCCAAATCATTAAATGTTATCAGTTTCCCTAAGGGTGATGACCTTTTGCGAGTGATACGAGGTTATGAAGAGACGTGGAGTTTTCCCAATGTGTGCGGGCGCAGTAGATGGGACTCACATACCGATACTGGCACCTAACAAAAATCACACAGATTATGTCAACCGTAAGGGGTTTCATAGCGTCCTTGTGCAGGCTGTGGTAGATTGTAATAGGCCGTGAGATGAGGGTCGAAAATATGCTTAGAAAACAGATTCCGTAGCACCCCTCGTGTAACTACATAATTTTTACATGAATCTATAGATTATAACTTACTTAGTTAGAATCCACTTCCCCCCAAGCGAAATAGTTGCACAAATTGAAGTATAAGCTCTTCAAAGTTCACGCTTCCTCGTGTTTCGGAATCCATGAACCGCCATTGTTGTGTTGCAAATACGCATGCGCTTGAGCACAAAACACGTAATGCGCACGCGCAGATAAGAAAAACTGATCTCAATCTAGGACTGGACTTGGACTGAACAAGAAAAAATTATGAAATGTGCGAAAACAGGGCTGAAGTAAAACAAGATGACATCGGAATATTTTAAAAATATATGATATTTTTATCTTCTGTGCATTTTAATGGAGTTTACCAAATATTCTGAGCAATGTACCGTATCGAGCCCTCGCCAGGAACACTTCCAAGCCAACATTACAATAATAACTTATTTAATTAAAATATTAATTAAAATATGATGTTATTTTATACTACAGCAATTGCATAACGTTTGCAAGCAAATTTGTTTTTCAGGCTTTAAATATTATCACAATCCTAAACATTCAGGGCCGTACACAGCAGGGGAGGCAATATCATTATTAATTATTCATTGGATATTTGTGACGTTTTTCGGCATATAGGCCTTACTGCCCCCAGCTGATGAAAACATTCTGCGTACGGTCCTGTAAACGTTCTAGAACTCATACCGTAATTTATCATTTTTTTTTTGGGGGGGGGGAAGGAGGGAGGTATTTCTAATATACACAAGGAATCTGTTTGCACGTTTTATTCTCTTTAAATATGCAACATCGAGTACTGTGATTTTCCGTAAAATATCATAATTATCTTTCAAGTTTCAAATACAATTTCACTCCACGATTTTATACATTAATTGCTTACAGGAGAGGGCCGGGGGTGGGGAAGAAGTGGTGCTAAACAAAGAAATGACTATATACCATAAACTAAGTATTACTCGGTATTCACAATCTTATTTATTCTCTAAATCTTTTCCCGTCAATTAATTTTATTAGTCCGGGTAATGGTTGTTTATTGGCTTTGCGTCTAATCCATTATTAAGCCAAAGAACGGAGGTTAACTCTTTGCCTCAAGGGCCAACGTACCAATTCTGAGTTACGCTGACTGGAACCTCATTACGACTCTGTTTTTGTACCAACCAATCCTCAAACACTCGTATTTCGTTGTTCATGTACGCCTTTAGCGTAGCCATGTTGGGGCTCGGGGGACCCGCCCCCCCGTGGTAAAATTTTGGTGCCCCCTGAGAAAATTTATTCTATAAAAAGAAGTGAAACATAGCCCACCTACGTTTTTGCTGCCCCCTGACCAAAAATCCTGCATGGCTACGTTTCTGGACATTTTGGAGAGAAGTGATGTTTTGATAAAGAGAAAACTACTCAGTCTGAGTCAGGTAATCTGTTGGTCTTGTTCCGTTTTGCGTCTTAATGCTGTTGGATAACATATTTAAATATACTTGAGTGAGAATGGACAGTGTGTTGTGGAAATTTAAAGCTGTTAATGCTAAATAGATAAGACAAAAACTCCCTTTCTCTTGGTATGCGCGCGTCGTATGGGCAAGTTATTATAATTAGATTGCAAACGTCACACCATTAATGCTGTTGCATAACAATACCTCCTAAAATCTACTAAGCTATTTCCTTCTCCTTTGTTTTTTTTTTGATAAACTGATCACGATGATTGCACAAATATACTGAATTGGCGAAAAGGCGTTCGTGATAAAGGCGTGCATGATCAACAACGTAACACGAGTGTTTGAACACGAAATTGGCTGGTACAAAAACCGAGTGCGTAATAAAGTTCCAGTCAGCGTAGAGGCGAAACCTCCGTTCATTCTTATTAATGATGGATTAAATGCAAAAGAAATAATAAACAACGAACCTGGACTAATAAAATTGACAGTGAAAGATTTAGAAAATAAATAAGATTGTGAGCACCGAGTAACACTCAGTCATATTTAGGGAGTGGTCATTATTTATGGGGAGGGGGGTTGGGAAATGGGAGGGGAGGCAAACGAAGTTTTACCCTTATAAATAGGTGGGTGGGTCAAAAAAAGTTTTAACACAGAGAAAAGGGGGGGGGGGTCATAAAGATTTTTGAACTTAAATACCATGTCTAGAGTTCTGATTTCTATAATCACAAATAGCAAAAAAGAAGACTCTGAAAATGCTATTTCCAACGATCTAGAGACTCAAAATTTTCAAAATTACTGCTCAGCGCCAACCATGGTAGCGCCTCGCGATCGCGGGAGTTGGGCCCACTAAGTTTAACAAGCTTTCTACCCCCTGAGTGACCCAGTTGTGGTATTTACATAAACATACCATGCAAGTACACTTAACTGATCAGATTCGGTCTATCAACGCACAATGTAACGCTGTATATCCAAAAATCTGTTTCAGAAAATGCTCACATTTCAGTTCTAGGGGTGGAAAAATACAAAAATTTTCTGGGGGAGAATACACCCAGACCCCCCTACTAGTACATACGATACCACACCAAACTTTTTGTCACCAACAACCATCTGTCGTCTCTACACACTCAATATAGTATGGTCCCTTTTTGTAGATGCCCACCCCCTAGACAAGTTCTTAAAATCTCATTTCGCTGTATGAAGACGGGTCATGGGTTAGGGTTATGGTAGGACAAATGTTGCATTGCAAAGTAGTAACACATAATATATATTTTTTAATCATATATGGTTGAATCATATTCACCAGGGGCCGGTTGTTCAAAGCTGGGTTAGCTTAACCCTAGGTTAACCTAAAATTCAAAGCAAACTTCCTGACAGCTTGTCTATAAATTTGGAAATATTTCTTCAGAGATCTTGTCTGGATGGATAGGAGTTTACTTGTCTGAAGTTTTGAAATAAACAGACGTGCAGAAATACACAAACTAAAACAGCAGGTTAAACTTTTAACCCAGGGTTAGCGCTAACCCACCTTTGAACAACCGGCCCCAGGGTAAAACATCATGAGCTAGATTGAACAGATTGTCCTAATATCTAACTTTACCTGCAATGCACACCTGTTTCATTGCTGTTAATTTTTCAATCTACACTGGGGGGGCGGGGGGGTCAGAGAAGTTTCTACTTTTATGAGGGGGGAGGCACAAAAAGTTTGCCTTCAGTCTGGAGGGGGGGGGACAAAAAAGTTTTCAATCCTTATTTTCCCCATTTCCCAACTCCCCCCCTCCCCATAAATAATGACCACTCCCTTATGGTATATCGTAATTTCTCTGTTTAGCAAACCCCCACCCCTACTCCCCACCCCTTTCTCCTGCAACCAATTAATTAATGTATAAAATCGTGAAACATGAAAGTATTGTATTTGAAAGATAATTATGATATTTTACTGATAATCACAGTACCCGATGTTGCATATATAAAGAGAATCAAACGTGCAAAACAGTTGTATATATTAGAATTAAACCCCCCTCCCCCCTTCTCCCTTAATAAATTTGATAGAGAAATTACGGTATGAATGTTCTAGAATATTTAGGATTGTGATATTATTTAAAGCCTGAAAAACAGATTCGCTTGCAAACGTTATGCAATTGCTGTAGTATAAAATAACATCATATTTTAAATAAGTTATTATTGTAATGTTGGCTTGGAAGTGTTCCTGGCTAGGGCTCGATACGGTACATTGCTCAGAATGTTTGGTAAACTCCATTAAAATGCACAGAAGATAAAAATATCATATATTTTTAAAATATTCCGATGTCATCTTGTTTTACTTCAGCCCTGTTTTCGCACATTTCATAATTTGTTCTTGTCCAGTCCAAGTCCAGTCCTAGATTGAGATCAGTTTTTCTTATCTGCGCGTGCGCATTACGTGTTTTGTGCTCAAGCGCATGCGTATTTGCAACACAACAATGGCGGTTCATGGATTCCGAAACACGAGGAAGCGTGAACTTTAAAGAGCTTATACTTCAATTTGTGCAACTATTTCGCTTGGAGGGAAGTGGATTCTAACTAAGTAAGTTATAATCTATAGATTCATGTAAAAATTTTGTAGTTACACGAGGGGTGCTACGGAATTGAACATTTTCGACCCTCATCCAACGGCCTATGTAGCTACCAATCAGTGTATATATAGAGTTCAGTGGGAAAGCCGCCCCATAAAACATTTCGGGTTTGGACGGCCATATTGAATTTTGAACACGAGAAGTAAACATTTTGAGTATTTATAGAACAGATATTGAGGATTTTGTTAGTAGAAACTTGCTTTATTGAACGACCGATACAGTCGGTAAGTTTTTGAACACTTATTGTTGACAATTTTAATGTATTTGTATATTAATTTTAGTTTAACTTGCAGAAAACCTGCTGTTTATATTGGTGGAAATAGTAATATACGATATAAAGTGGAAAATAATAGTGGAAAATTGGCGTATATTTGTTGAGTTTTGACTATCGATCGTACGGGCATAACAGTTTTCGACTAAATCGAAGGGTAATACGAAGTTTATTGTTGGTTTGATCGTATATTTTTGGAATTTTGTGGAAATATTTGGTAAATATTAGTGCGAATATATGTGTGCGTGAGATATAAATATGTCAAAATCATCTGGAACTATATCTGCTGAGGAAACGAAGCAACTGGAAAATAATGAAAATCGTGTGAGTCAAGGTGTAGAACAAATATCTGGTGGAGAAATTCAGGAACTAAATGTTTTATCGCCAGAGCATGGAACAAATATGGAAGAGGAAATTTCTGAACTATACAAGGTGCGAGATATTTCTACTAATAAGTTATCACAGTTGGCTAGTGAAGTGTGTTGTTTGCTAATGGGTAAATGTGTGAATACTAGTTGGAGAAATGCTGTATTGATAATGGATAAACATACTATTGCATGGAAAGAATTTGTTGGTGTACATGAACGTTTAATTCAAGTGTTGAACAGTGAGAGTGAGAAAAGGATGGCTTGTGCTGAATACGGACAGCAACAAAACAGGAAATTAGAGTTGGATGCCAAGTTAAAAGAGTGGCGTAAATCAAAGGAAGCTGAACATTTAGATGAGATAGAGAGTAAGAAATCTCATAAATCATCGAAGAGTGGGAGTAGTTGTGGAAGTAGTGCTAGTACAAAATTATCGAGACAGTCTAAAAGAAAGGAAAAAATGGCTCTA